CGCCAGGCCTTCCTGCCAGTTACTCCTGCCTTCGTTTGCAGGCCGGGCCTGGCTGTACCTGGCCCTCAACGAGAACTCCCTGGAGAGCTACCTGCGGCTGTTCCAGGAGAACCTGGGTCTGCTGCATAAGTACTACGTCAAGTGAGTGTCGGAGTGGTCTGTCTCTCCTGGCCTCAGAACCACTCCCAAAGGCCCTTGTCGTATGCACTGGTGTCCTGCTGGGCTCCTGTGTACAGTTGGGTGCTTGGCAGCTGCCCGATCCTCTACCTGGCCTCAGACCTGACCAGAGTGCCCAGGCTTTGGCTCACTCTGTGCTGGGGTTGCTGCAGGAACAGAGTATTTAGTGGCCGCTGAGGGCCTGATGAGCCTCATGCTGCAGGCCCGTCTCTGAAGACACTGGCAGGAAAGTGCAGTGTGGCTCCAAACCCAGTAGGAGAACAGCAGAAGGAGACTGGTGGGTGACGGCTCTATCAAGCTGGGTGCCCGTCCAGGGGATGGGATGTCACATGTCAAATTTCAACACAGTTGGCACGTTGGCAAGGTTGGCCAAGCTGGTAACCAGACCTAGAAGCACCATGGTGGCTTCTCGTGTCTTGCAGGAACGCCCTGGTCTGCAGTCACGATCACCTGACACTCTTTCTGACCTTGGTGTCCGGGCTGGAGTTCATTCGATTCGACCTGGATCTGGTGAGACACCACAGCTCTCGCTACTCATGGGAAGCAGAGAGGTGGGCAGGTGGCGCAGGCTGAGTGGTGGTTTCACCTTTCAGGCCTCTTTCAGGGTGTGACTGAGCTTGAGCACAGCCTTGTGTGTTCAGGTGCAGGAAAGGTTGCAGGGTCTGGAATTGAGTGGAAGGGGAGCGATTCTCTCTTAGCTTATTTATGGCAAGAACTACTGATTCAGGCCGCTTCGTCCTATCTCTCTGTGCAACTTGGAGAAAAGCCACATTGCCTGCGGTATCTTAGCCCAGGAAGACTCACCTGCATGTCTAGGACATGAGTGTTTGAGAAGGACAAGGCAAATTCAGCCCTTTGCTTCCTGGGATCCCAGCGACTGTCGTCAACTCCATGCTCCCACCTGCCGTGCTCTGGGCCACCCTCTTCAGTTTCTCAAGCTTCCCTTCCCTTCGCGCACTGTTCAAATGTGTTGCTGGCCCAGAGCTAAAGAGGCTCCCAAGCATGTCTCGATCTCAGCCACGTCAGGATGGATGTGGCTGCCCTGTCCTAACTGAATCAGCTTCCTTGGCTCCTACCCTGGCAGTACAGACTGAAAAAGGAACTTGGCTAGTACAGGTTGAGCATCCCTAATCCGAAAACCCCAAATCTGAAACTTTTTGAGTGCTGATACAATGCCAAAGAAAAGGCTCGTTGAAGCATTTCAGATTTCAGATTTGTGGATTAGGGCTGCTTAACTGGTAAGTATAATGGAAATATTCCAAAATCTAAAAAAATCTGAAATCTGAAACACTTGTGGTTCCAAGCATTCCAGATAAGGGATATTCAACTGGTAATAGAAATTGGAGAAAATGAGCAATTCTAATAGTAAAAGCAATCGAAGAAGTATCAGAGGTGTATGGGGGTTCTGAGAGCTCTGTCATCTGTCATCCCGAAGTCCACGGCTTTGAAAGCCAGCACCATTCACGTTGCTCTTCTTAGCAGCTTATCTCTGAATTCACTACTTTAAGCCCCTTAATTTCCCGAGGGAAAACTAGCATGGGAGGGCATGGCAGAGTCAGATGCATGTCTCCCAAGCCTGGATTCTGCCGTTTTCTGGCCCACCTGAGACTCCCACCAAACCTCCCTCTTCGCCTCTCTCCTCAGGACGCCCCTTACCTAGACCTGGCCCCCTACATGCCCGACTACTACAAACCTCAGTACCTGCTGGACTTTGAAGACCGCCTTCCCAGCTCGGTCCACGGCTCAGACAGCCTGTCCCTCAACTCCTTCAACTCCGTCACCTCCACCAACCTGGAGTGGGATGACAGTGCAATTGCCCCATCTAGTGAGGGTGAGTGGCCCAGGGCAGAAAGGAGCCAGCCTCCGCTGGCAGATGGACTCTGGAGCCACTTAAGCCTGGCTGGGTGACGTCTTTCTTGGCTAGTTTTGATCTGGTGGTTGAAATTTGCGGTTACTCAGGGCCAGCCATTTTCCAGATCTTCATTTCCTCAGAGTCCCTCTGGTGGCTAAAATATGGATTCTGGGCACAAAAAGCCAAAATGAGATTTTATGAATGTTAGACCCTTTTCCAGAAGGCTCTAGTGGGGCAGTGTTCCGAGCAGTGTGACCTGGGAACTCATGCCTGACCGTCACAGGGGTGAGCGCTGCGTGCTTTGGAGAGGTTGTCCCACCTCAGAATCTAGGCAGAAAGAGGCTGAGCAACTCCTAGAAGGAGAAGAGAGAGCCGGGTGGGTCAAAAGCCTGGGGGGAACCTGCCACAGTGTCCCTCCTGCACTCGCTGGTGTGTTCAGGATGGTCTCACCCGTTGCATCAGAGACCAAGGAGAACCCTGTAGGTCATTTTGTTGTCTTGGTCCAACAACTTATTGGAACAGCCTGGTTTCTTTCAAACCTTAGGCCTTGGTATTTGTTGGTAAAACTGACCATTGCCCCAGCTTCGTC